ACGACCGGCGGGGGGAGAGCAGATTCAGCATGATGGGGTATGGCCCCCTCATTCAGAAGGGTGGCAATCAGATGCTGCTCACCATCTGCAGTCCGACGGGCGGCGTCAGAGGCCGATGATCCGGCGCCATGGGCGGCGGCCTCCCTGGCCGCTTTGGCCGCAGCCATCTTCGCCTTCCTGTTCCTCAGGCACTCGGCGTTGTCCATTTGGTCGGCGGTAAGAGGAAGACCTGCAAGAGAGAAATACAAGAATATGAAAAGACGAACAGAGATAGGGAGGAACACCCACCTCAGAGGACAGGACCGCCCGTGCCCCGAGACGAGCGTCCAAGGGGGGAAGGAATCCAGGAGCACGGGCGGTACCTATGCCTGCTTCAGAGAGTGCCTCGGGGGTCAGGTATTCTCCTATGGGGCGAATGCCGCCTGCCAGGACTTTGTTAACTTCCGCCTCCAGCTCGTCCGTCAGCACCGGCGACTCAATCTTCGGGGGGTAACCATTCCAGCGGATTGGGAGGGGAGGACCATCATATCTGAGGAAGAAGAGCCTATTTTTCCAATCATGGATGGAGGAAGGATAGTGCTCGAACAGCTTCCTCTTCGGACGAGCGGCCACACTCAGATAACCGTCGGAATTCTGCGGGGTGACCCGGTAAAAGTAGTGAAACAGATCCAGGGATACATCGGCTTCCGCGGACGAGCAGCGCACGAGGAATGCGGAGATGAACCTATAGGAGTTGGGCATGAACTGCGCCGGGACCGCCTGGTAGCAGTTGAAGAACTCCACGTAAAAGGGGTGGAGGGGAAACCGCAGACCGGCCTCTACAGAGTCCACATGCAGGATGATCATCCCCGCCCGTCGCCGCATGGCATGTTCAGCCCCGCTATGGCTAAAGACGAACGGATGGGGGAGGAAGGAAGCAATCTTGTTCATGGCAACGCTAGAGAGGGACTGTCGGTGCTCTAAAACACTCTTAATCTTGCAGATGTGCCTCTGCACGTCCATGGGGATACCTAAATCATGCACCTCCAGATCAGAGCCAGATTGAGCCTCATCTGCGGAATCATACCCGGCCGCACGTTCATTCAGAGGCACTGCCTCAATGGCACCTTCGGGAATGTCGGCGCCTTGCTCACCATCGACATGGATGGTCCCTACGGTGGACGCCGAACCTGGGTTGCCGGAAACACTGGTTTTTCCGGAGGAACGGGAGCCAGAATTGGAGGAGGAATCAGAGCCGGAGCCCGAAGAACCAGAACTCGAACTTGAAGAGATCTCCGTCGAAGTCATCACTAAGAGAAAGGGCAAGGATGAAGAGGAATAATTACCTTTAAAAAACTTGAAGATGGACTCGGGAAGCTGTGATGAAAAAACTCGAAGAGCGGCAAGAGAACTCGAAAGCAAAAGCCAGAAATCGGAAACCCTAGACATCAGGGGATTTCTGGTATTTATAGTGGAGGCACCCCCGGGGGGACGAATGAAGAAGCGACACGTGGCGAGGAGCGTACCCTGGCGGGAATCCAACCTGGGGAAGCGATACGCGTAATGATGACTTCCCATCGGGAGTCGCACCGTCTCGCCGCCAGCCGCCACCTCGATTCACCCGCGGTCGCCCAACTCGGGGTGCCCTTCGATCAGGTACGTCCAGTTCCCCGTGGACAAGTACGGGAGACGGGCATCCTCCAGGAGGCACAGCACACTTCCTTATGTCCCACGCACGCTTGGAACATCAGAAGTGGGGGACTTGTGTTGGGTAAATGGCCCCGAACAGACGTCCGGCCCAATTACCCCCAAACCGACGTACGTCGCCCAGCCCGCGGATGGCCCTGGCCTGAAGGAATGGGGACGAATGTCTATCTCCGGGGGAACAGCACAAGGTCCCGGCCGAGGGTCGGTTAGCACATCCGTGACGAACGTCGTCAGCCGAGGCCCATCTCCGTAGATGGCCCAGGCCCCAAAAGATTGTTACGTTCTCAGGAAGGGCCGCAGACGAACGGCCCCCGGTTCTACCAGACGATCGTGGTCAGGAATTAGGCGGGGAACCCAGATTCTGGCGGGAAGCGCATTTAATGCTGGAGATTTGGTGGTTGGGCCACAGCCACTAACAATCCTCCACATCAACAAGACTAACTGCCCATTGGCGGGTATAAATAGTAGCATTTATTTCATTGTAAGGGGTTGGCAACTTTCTATTCTTAGCATACTAGCTTCAGCATTCTTACTTGCAGCATTTCTAAGTGCCTTGTAAGACGAACGGCCGACGTGCCTTTTTAGCAAGTAGATTGTACTTAGGGGAGTTATTACGAAGTTAATAATACCTATTTACATTGCCTGCTATTACTTTTGTTTTCCTGATCCGTCTGATAGTTGTTGGGCTAGATATCCACACACTCACTCCACTCGAAATCTTTGGGCTTACGTGTTGGGTCCAAGGGTTGAAGGAATAAACCTCAACAGACATTATCATTCATATTATTGGACTACTAGCCGTGTGGGTTACCCTCAAGTGGGCTTAGGACGCCACTCTTGAATACTTACTATTTTTAGCAGGTTGGGCCCAAAATAATGTTTTGGCCGCCCGACCTCCCCAAACCCGTGTCGAAAGGTTATGTATCATTATTTACAAAATGTTGGGCTCTTATATTTGACACGAAGGCCCAAATAAGTATTTGAAAGCCCATCACAATGTACGCACTCAAACAGTAAAATGATCAATAAGATAACTGCGATTCTAACTCCGCGGTTATTTTCAAGAATTCATTTGAATGTCTTCCCAATTGAATTTTTAGCTGAAATTTGGTATGAGTAAACTAGATTTGATGAATAAGATGCTCAAAAAATTTCATAAAAAAATGCCACCGGGAACCACCCCAAATGGCGATGACCGGACAGAGCCTCCTAAATAAGAGCTTATTTGACCTTTTTTGGTTAGTACATGGGCCTATTTGCACCTTTTTCCAACATTAATTAATCATTTCACAATTGTTTGGCAATTGGAATTTTAATACATAAACTTTGAATTTTAAATTGAATTTCAAGGACATTCGGGTGCAGTGTCACATTATAGATAACATAAGGACTAAAGTAATGAAGTTAATGAGAAATAAGAAGCGGATGAAGAGCATGGGCGGGTTAATATGTCCAGCCACACTAAAGAAGTTGAATGCTTGCATTATGGAAGCTACTAAATGGCTAACAATTTCATGTGGAGAAGTTATATTTGAGGTTACACTTAGACCTAAAAGGTTTGTTGTTCATCTTCTGGGTAATACATGTACTTGTAGGTTATAGGACTTGACGGGTGTACCTTGTGTTCATGCTTTTGCCGCTATAATTTCCATGAAGAGAAGACCAGAAGATTTTGTACACCAATAATTTACGCCGGAGTACTTTCTTAGGGCATATGAGTATAAAATAAATACGATGGGCAGTACTAATTTTACCCCTAAAGCTGACAATGTGCTAATACAACCACCAATACTAAGAAGTCCGCCATGGAGGCCAAAAAAGCAGAGACACAAATCCTCATTGGAAGGGAGGGATCCACCTAAAGCTAAATGAAAATATGTGGTGATCAAGTGTATGTGATAAATGTAGGCAGCTTGGGCATTTTTAAGAGATCGTGTAAAGAAATGAACAAGTAAGGTTTTTTAAAGCATTTCTTTATCCAATGTTATCATGTAAATACACACAACGTACACGTATACATGTAAATAATTCTATAATGTGTAATGTCTTTATTATACGAAGTATCCTGACCATGGTCGAGCTTCTCAACCTACTAGTTTTGTCAAGACAAGAATAAGAGTTAGAGAGAAGACATGACACAACTTTGGGAATATGATGCTTTATTATCACGTTTGATTGGTTTCCATAGACACTATGAAACTGTGAATTAGACGTTTTTAGACTGTTATATTTTTTTCTTTGTTTTGATTAAAACAATTTCAATTATAGATGCAGTGTTTCAATTTGTTCAAAACAGACATGTTTGAATTATATACGTCCATTCATACTTATCCCAGTTTAAATTTTGTTTATATTGTATGGTGAAAATCACGTTAAAGGATCTACCTTTAAAAGACAAATCTAATTTTACAGCTCTAAGGAAAACATTTTACTAAAGGTGATACCTTTCACATGACCACTTCGTTTGGTAAGGATAGTGTAAGTTCAACACTAAATAAACTTCATTGACTAAATAAAGGCAGTTCTAATCTGAAGATTTCTAAGGACAGTGGGACCTCCATTATAGTCCCCATGGGTCCATGCAATTCCAATCTTAATGATTTTTTGACATTATTTTCTAATTTTGTTAAATTATCATCTGAGCAGGAAAAAATCATGCACTCAGAGCACGATACTTCAAGTGACTATGAGGAAATCACCATCTCCAAACTCATTTTTAATTATGAAGTTCAGAGAGCCTTCAGCAAGAAACAACAACTAATTATCTCATCTGAAAAACAACCACAAAACCCACTCCTCGAGGCTTACTCAGATGCATCAGACAGTTATGATCAGTCTGATGACTCTTTCTTCTCAGACGATTTTCTAGGACATGCAACAGAAAGTGATCGTCGACCCCCATTATCAAACAAGGAAGAAATTAGGAAATCTAAGTTTAATAGAACGATTTGCCGAAAAGCAAACCTGGTCACCTCCGAAAACTGCATACCAACAGAAAACCTAAACACCCAACTAAAAATCTACAGGAAATCTCAGAAGAATAAGAGGCGCCATAGCATGAGGACCAGATCACAGTCCAGAGATTTCCCTTGGGTCTAGTTTTTTTTTTATCTATGTTTACTTTACCTTTCCTTTTTGTTCGTTTTCTTTTATTTATCTTTTTGCATTGTAATTTTATTTTACTTTCTGAATAAAATTCGTTTTCTCTATAAAAAAAAAATGCAGTTCCTTTTTGTTTTGTCATGATAAATAAGTGAATTAGGGTGTAGTGTACATAATTCAAATATAGACACAATGACACATACACCCTAATTCTCCTCTCAATAAATTTCGGAGTGGACAGCCACACAAGAAAATAACTAGAAAACTAGTTGTTGACTGACAAATTTTGTAATTTGATGTGTTTTTTACAACTGAATGGGGCAGCTAAGAACACTAAGTTTGACTTAAATTTGGGTTGTTCACCCAAATTAGAAAAACACAACTCGAGAATATCAAAAGAAAGTCCTAAGGACATTACAACATGCAGCGCAGCTGCCTTTGGGAAATAACTATAATATACAAAGTTATCGATCATTTTTCATTAGCACATTCTCTGAACTCGTCATATCGGTACCTGCAGGGGTTCATCCAAGTATTTATTAGAAACATCATCGATTTACACCAGGATAACAACGCTTAACCTTCTTTCAGAATATTAAAAAGTAATCACAGTTAAACCAACCATATGGACGGCCACACAAATTATCAAACACTTGCACTAAGCATTGGTATAAATATCCATGCCTCATTATACTATCTCATTGATCTTACATTCGTGTGGTGTGTAACACTTTCTTTCAGTTTAAACGGAAAAAATATTCCACTTTGGTTCATATCATTATTAGGTCAACCCCACTATTTGGTTGTGAACTTTCACTTTTCCACTAAATGTCCCATGGCAGTGGAGATTTCTAACAATTTTTTATAGGGAAATTTTCCTAAATAGGAGTAAAAATGTTTTAGGATTCCAAAATAGGACTCCTATGTTTGTCTTTCTGAAATAGGAGTCATTACTACCGTGATTGAAAAATATTGCCTTTAATGACAATAAATGCTGCCATTTTAATGTCTAGTACTGCAACTATTTATGCTGCCATGTTGATGTCTAGTACAACTATTTGACTATAATGACTCCAAAATGACAGTAAATATTGTCTTGTTATTCCTATTTCGAAAAGAAAAACATAAAAGTCATATTTTAGATTTTTCGAATTTCAGAACGTTTATCAGGAACTTTCCCTTTTTGGTATTTTCTGATTGCTTAGTCGAAAATCAACAGAAGGACCGAATATGAGAAGCCCATAGTCATGCTCCAAAAGTGGATATATTGAAAGCTGAGGACTGAAAAAAGTACGAATAATCACAATGCGTACAAAAGTGCGAGCACTTGCAGTTGCAAATAACAAGGTACACAAAAATAAAGGAAAAAGGGTCATATAAACGCTTGTACTATTTCAAATACATCATTTAAGTCCATCTACTCTAGAAAGAGTCATATTACCATCTCTACTGTAAACAATCGATTAGGCCAACTTACCGGAAGGTGACCCTTTATAGCAAGTAATATGCTGATTTGGCATATCTATTTCTTTTTTCCTTTTTCTTTCCTTTTTTCCTGCTCGTAATTTGTTTCCTCCCCTACATTCTTCTTGTTCCATCTCTCCTTAGCAGTTCATCTTGTTCCTTTTTTACTTTTCCTTTTCACTGGTCATTATTTTCGATTTCTATTCACATCTTCTTTGTCAATCTCTTTTCATTATCACTCAGCTTTCGGATCGATCTAATTGCCATTTACGATTTTGTCATGTTTAAATGGTTTAATCCACTTCCTTTGTGGTTGTAAGATGATATACACCCAAACATAAAATTACTCTGCCTCAAATTTTGATTAGTTTACTCCTTTAGATTTATTTTCTTCCCTTTGTTTCTAGATTAGTATTGATACTATGATGATGGATTTCATTACTGTGTTATAGCTTGTTGTTAGTTAAAAATTGCATGATTATCACTCCGTATTAATTTATGCGAGTATATATACATCAATATATGTCTCTGTGTGTGTGTGTATAAGTGTCTGTGTGTATATATATATCAATATATGTATGTATATGTATATGTATATGTATATATGTGTGTGTGTTTAACTGTTTATGTATGTACATGCGTGTATATGTATTAATTAATAGATTTAATACATACGTATTTATATATGTATGTATTGTTACATGTGAATTAATGAAAAATCCAAAGAATATAAGTTGATTGTTTGGATCTCTTTTGAAAAATATTCCGTATAACGCTTTTATTTAGATTAGATTTAGATTTTGAGAAGAAAATACAAAGGGGAAGAGAAAGTGTGTATCTGGGGAGAGAATAGAAAAAGAAATAAAGAAATAAAGAAAAAAGAAAGGAGAAGGAAATGAAAAACCGATGCAGAAAGAAGCAAGATAGAGATAACGAGGAAGTCATCATCCGTTAAATCAGATTTCTATATGTTAAATAACTTGCTATAGGGAGTCATCATCCGGTAAAATAACCCAGATGACTCTTTTTTAAGAGTAAATAGATTTATTTGACACTTTTTTTAGTAGATGGGTTTAAATGATGTATTTGGTATAGTACACGGGCTTATGTGACCCTTTTTCCCAAAAATAAATGTAAGATCATATGCAAATGCAAGCAATAACATGTATAGTCAAAGAAAATAGAATATTGCTTCACCTATCCATAGATGATCTCTGCAGATGTTGATGGCCGTGGTAATCGTATAAGCTCTTTCAATATCATAAACCCTTTTGTTTCATCGCAGAATTGAACATTAGGTTGAATTATCATTTTCTTGAGCCTGGGAGATTTGATTAGAAGAAGCTTTGCAAGCGCCATTTGGTTCCTTGTACCAGTAAAACCTTTCAACTCTACCCTCCTCAGATGATCTAATGTCGAGTCTAAGTACTCTTTAACATTCAGTGACTCGAGAGAAGGATTTTGGTCAGCAGCAACAGTAAAATTAAATAGCTAAAAGATAAAAAAAACAATATTAGCATGTGTTACGAGCCAATAAGAAAATCTGAATATCAAAATGAATTTAACATTTTAAATTAATAAATGCAAACATATGAAAGAAAACTCACTCGAATTGTGATGTCTTGCAAGTTTGGTGAGATTCTAACAATGAAAAGTACACCTGTCATCTCCCCCATTTTCTCTAAACATATTCCCTCAAGTTTAAGAGTGTTAAGGTGCACAGCAGTTAGACTAGGTCTTTTTAGGACTTCACTTGTAGCTGAAAACTTTTCAATTGTTGTACACAAAGCATGGTTCTGTATTAGTCTCCAAAACTCATACACCATGGGAGTTTATCATAATAAAGAGTACAAAAAATGTACCTTGTGGTAGGGGATGTTTATACTTAACAGCCTGTGAATGTTCTAGTGGAAACTAGAGTTCATTTTTTCCAGTTAGAATGGAGGATGTTGGCCCAATGTTAAATGTTTTTTGCTCACATGACTTTTTTGCAAGTTGAATCTAATGCAGCACTAAGTATAGTGAACATCATCACCCATGCACAACCCTTTCCATAGTGGTAATTACAGGAACTGCAGCTGTCGGCTGCCGGTCACCGACCACTGTTTTTATAATTATGGAGTACTACTGTCTTTTGCATACAAATGTTTTGATAAAGCAACCTTTAATGGAAATCTATAAACTTCATTATAACAATTAATACATAACACTTGGCAACCTTGTTAGCTGCTAATTAGTTTAAAACTAATCAAAATAATTTTAGTGTGGTATTCAAAGTTTCATAGCTAGAAAACAATTTCTTAAAGTAGTAAATATACTTAATTTTTTTTCATGATAAAAAAAATATACTTAATCTTTCCAAAAGTTAATTTTATATACATAAGAGGTGCAAAGAGAGCAGTGACTGAAAACAGTAACGGGCGCAAAGGACTTGACAGATTTTCATCTCAAATTGATCCAACTATGTGCCCATTTGGTAAGACAGAAGTTGACTAAAGCGGCTTAATCTGCTCAAATTAATGAAATTTTGGTTGAAGCTGCTAAATAGGCTGAATGTACTGAGTTATGAAAAAATCATACTCCCTCCGTTCTTTATTATCTGTCCGGTTAGCCTTGGGCACGAGTTTTAATAGAAAAATAGTAGGGTAAATGTAGACAGTGGCGGATCCACTGCTGTTCAAGAGTGTTCACCTGAACACCCTGAATTTTCAAAAACGAGTACCTATACATGACTACTTATTATGTCCGGTGATAGAAAGGCTGATATGTGATAGTTGGTCTAAGCGATCGTGAGATATTGTTCAAACGCACTTCTGAAATGGAGCTGCAGGTAGAAGGAGAACATTCTATTTTTGCCTATTCCTATAGGGGGCGCCGGCCTATACCTCTCTGGAAGAATTTGGAGGGGGCACAATGAAAAAGAGAAACCGCCAAACTTTGGCAAAATTCGAATACAAGTGCCGCACTATAGTGTTTCTTATAATAATTTCCTAATGTCTAGTATTTCAACTACTTTTCTTTTCCCCTGCTGAAATGTGTGTCCGAAAATTCTCTCCAGAGGTGTGATGATTTAATAACAATTTATTAATTTAGTATTTTTTACTAAAAAGATAAGTGCGTAATTTGTTGACCATTTAGTAGTTTTTATTGGAATGACAAAAGTGCATAATTCTTGCATAAATTGATGCTCCATACTATCATTTGAAATTTTGATTTTAATGTGATTTCGAACACTCAAAATGTAAGTGATAGATCCGCCACTGAATGTAGAGTGTGTAGGGTAAATGATAAAGTATGAAAGATAGTATATTAAAAGAGGGAAAATGGAAACTAATAATCCAACCTTTTAATAGTCCCACCTTTTCGTTATTCATGAATAATCCAACTTTTGCACCTCATCTTCATTCACCGGTCCCTGACCGGTTGATGACCTGCTATTCCAAGTTATTTTCTTATCTTTGCAAAATATTATCTTTGTGAAAGGTGGAATTTATGGTATACTCCCTCCGTCCCCTTTTAAATGGGATGGGAGATGGTGGCACGGGTTTTAAGAAAAATGAGTTTGTGTGGTTGATATTAATTGATAAAGTAAGAATAAAGTAAGAATGATTTTGAGCCACACAAAGTTTACCAAATAAGGTATGGGGCAATTAAATAGGGACATCCCAATATGGTAAAACGGGACATTTAAAAGGGAACGAAGGGAATAATAGTTTGTAGAGATGAGAAAATAACTCGGAATAGCAAGTCATCAACCGGTCGGGGACCAATGAATGAAGATGAGGTGCAAAGGTTGGATTATTCATGAATAACGAAAAGGTCGGACTATTAAAAGAAGATCGCTAAAAGGTTGGATTATTAGTTTCCATTTTCCCTATTAAAAAGAGTAAAGTGGTGATAAAGTGATGATAAAGTAGGAAAGATAGTATATTAAGTAGAGTAAAATTATGATAAAGTAGGAAAGAGAAAGTAGTTTGTAAAAAGTAAGAGGGGTAAAAGTAAAAAAAGTGGGGGTATTTTATCAAAAACTTTCCTAAAATAGAAAGAGAGACAAATAATAAAAAATGTCCCAAAATGGAATGCGAGACAGATAATAAAGAACGGAGGAAGTATTTAAAATATATTTTTATTAAAAAAGTATATAAAAATTACATGAAAAAAACCAAAATAGTTCTCAACAGTAACTTCGGCCAATTCAAAAAGAAAAGTCATTTCAACTTACTTATTTTGATTACTAAACAATTTAGCACGTGAAATAAAAAAATTACACGTTTCGTTTATAAAAAAAAAATTGGGTAATAAGATTGATAAGTTGAAAATAGAAGTTACCAAACGGGCTCTATATATAAGAATGAAAATAACTCGTGATTGGTGGCTGGCTACTGGCAGCAACACTTGTTGCAGGTGGCCGTGGTGACTGAAAACTACTCGAAATTTTTTGTGGTTTTGGAAAAGGTAGTGCATTAATTAAGTATCAACAATATTATTGACCGCATCCAGTCATGCCATATATGATCCAAATTGGGCAAAAATAAACTCTGTATGTAGGGAAAAAACAGCCATCTTGAGACAATATCAGCAACACTTAACGTCACTTGGGCATACTCCTCTAATTCTAGTGGTCCAACACAAACCCAAGTTTGGGAAAAATCACTCATCAGACCTATAAGTGCAAACATGCCAAACCACACTTTTAGTACTACTACAAAAAATAAATGTCAAGACTTTCAAACCTGAATGAAGTGAGTGTCGAAATGTAGAACACTAAGCGCTGGAAGAGATCCAAATAGCGCAATAAGATTAGATTCCCTGCATAAAGAACTTTCTTCCACTATTTGAATATGTGAATCGTTAAGAATAACAACCTCCTCGAGTAGTGGGGTGCTCTTGAAACAAACGTATTTCAGTTCACCAATGAATTTAAAATACTTAAGTTTAGGAGCCTGAATCTCAAGAGCTTCATATTCCGAAAAATTTTCTAGCTTCAGGTGTTCAAGTAGTGGGCAACAAGCAATGAGGCTTTCAAGTTGTTGTGAACCAATGGCAACATTGTACATGTCAATGGTGAGAAGCTGACTAAATCCAATGAAGTCAGAAGGTGGGTGAACCAAACAGCAATATAGGCACAAAGATTTTAGTCTCTGACACTTGAAAAATGTTGAAGGCAGCTTATAATGGCCAGACCAAAATAAAAGTGTGAGTTCCTCAACATCACTATTGGACAACAGAAACATCAAGTTGTCTATCTCAGAGTAAATTTCCAGATCAGGAATTGAAAGATACAACGTGGTTATAGGACCTTCATGTTGCAGCAAAACATGAAATATCCTCCTAACACATTCATTTTGAAGCTCCAATTGATCACCACCACTTGATTCAGGCCAGATTGCCCCATCAAAATAAAGATGTGGAATTTTAGTCCACGTGTACATCCACTTACTTGAGAGCACACTCGTCCTTACGGCATCTTGAAGAGGCAAGTAATTTAAGATGGTTTCCCTTAGACTATCAGGGAGGTTGCTGATAATATCTTGATGATCATTCCTTTTCATCAGGGTGTCACAGTATTTCTCTTTCAGAGGCATTATCTGAAATAGTGGAATTGCACAACTTACTTCACTTCAAAGCTCAAACATATAGGTTCTAATCACTGGTACATGAAGCATTGAGTTTTATATGAACTACTACTATACAGTTGTCATTACCACATGCAATTCACATCAAGCAGTTAAGCAAGCAACATGATGTTTATTTCCCCGCAATGCACATAAAATTCATCTTTTTGACTCCTATTTCATAAGTCAATTCATGTTAGTCAACCTCAAACACTTTTGGGAATATGGTTTGAATGTCAATGTTGTTTTCTTGCACATAAAACTCAGCTTTAATTTCATTAAGAGTATCAGTGATAATCAGTCTGACAAATAAGTTAAACAACTGACTGGAAAGAAGTTTTCAAAGCCAACTAAGAGGCAAAAAAAACACAAAGTTCGAAACTGGAGAATTTTTCTTATATGATGATGATGATTATGATTATCTGAAAGAGAAAAGAGCCTGAATTCAATAAGTTTGAATGGGCAAACTATAAATGATGGCAGACATAGCAATCATGATGTCGTAATTTAAGTGAAGTTCACTTGAGAACGAAGATCTTCGCCACCACTGTAGGATCCCCTAACCCAGAACTCCAGATTCCAGAAGCTAGTGACGGTAAAAAAAAAAAAAAAAAAAAAAAAAAAAAAAAAAAAGAACTCCGTACTAATTAGGACTTTTTTTTTAAATTACTTCAATTCAGAGAGGTTACTATGGATTTAGCCGTAAAAAGGGATAAGGGTCAGTTTGGTACTTGAAGTTGCAAAAAAAGGGTCAAATAAGTCCTTATATAGAAGATTCTGTCCGGACGTGCCATTTGAGGTGGCTCCCGGTGGAATTTTTTGATAAAATTTTTTGAGCATCTTATTCATTAAGTCTAGTTTACTCATACCAAATTTCAGATAAAAATTCAATTCGGAAGACATTCAAATGAATTCTTGAAGATAACTGTGCCGTTAAAAGCGCTATAATCTTCAAGAATTCATTTGAATGTCTTTCCGATTGAATTTTTAGCTGAAATTTGGTATGAGTAAACTAGACTTAATGAATAAGATGCTCAAAAAATTTCATCAAAAAATTCCACCGGGAGCCACCTCAAATGGCACGTCCGGACAGAATCTTCTATATAAGGACTTATTTGACGCCTTTTTTGCAACTTCGAGGACCAAACTGACCCTTCACTCGCCGTAAAAAGTTAAAAACTCTGCGGGGTGCAGAAAGTGCATTCTTCAATTTTATTTGGTGTATTTGTTTACCTAAGTGGGAGTAAATAAATTTTTAATTGACATCTTCTAAAAAAATTAATTGTCAAAATAGGATTAAAGCTTAAAAATCTCCTAAATAGGAGTTATTATTGGTAATTTGACAAAAACACCCTTGAAGCTTGGAAATCATACTGCCGCCGACCAGAACGCCGGACCATTGCCAGTCGTCGGTCGCCGCCATCTCAAAATTGGCAATCGTTGTAGATCTGACCGCCACCATTGTAGATATGGTTGTCGCCGCTGCAGATCTGGCGGACGCCGTCGGAAATCTGGTCAGATCTGGCCTTCGCTGGTGGCCAGCAGCTGTCCTTGTAGATCCGGCCACCGTCGCAGCTAATCCGGCATCTGCCACTGCAAATCTGAACTATATCGTTTCAGATTTGGTCGTTGCCAGCACGAATGCCAACATTTTTATCAAAATGCCAACATGAATCGGGAATGTCATCTTAATGGCATTTCCAAAGAAAAAACAATTTTTTGTAGAATAAGAATGTCATTTTGATGGCATTTAAGAGTTGAGCTTGACATTTTTTTACCAATCAAAGATGAAATGGAGCATCTGCAACGAAATAGAAGAGGGGAAGAGAGAACAAGAGAAAAGGGGAGGAAGGACGGGGAGAACAATCAAAGAAGTGAACCTGACCTTCGAAGAAGAGAAAATCTTTGACGGTGATGGCCGCGACAGACTTCGCGTTAGCGGCAGTGATGGCTATGACTAGGCAGCTGCGGACTTTGCGTCAGCAGCAGCAGGCTTTGAAAGTTTGGTTGTTTTTATGCGAAGGCGAAGGGGAAGATGTGTAGGGGAGAGAGAAGAAGCCGCTCAGCGGCGCAGGAGAGAGAAGAAGCGCAGGGGGAGAAGAAGATGCGCGTAGGGAAAGAAGGGAAAGCGATAGAATAAGCGTAAATTCAGTCCTATTTAAGGGGAAAAAATACACTTAGTCTTATTCAAGAATTTCATGAAGAATTTAGTCCCATTTAGGGTAATAAGTCATTATATATTTCCTAAAGGCTAAGACCATTAATAGTGAAATAGGATTAGGAGTCAAAATGTTGAAGGAGAAGTTTTTGGACTCTTAATTGCTTAGGGTCTGTTTGCAACAGCTTCTGCTTTTAAAAAAGTGCTTTTTTTAATTAAATGGGGAGAAGTGATTAAATAAAAGTTGATAGTGTTTAAGAAAAAAAATGATTTTGAAAAGTAAAAGTGGGTAGTGTTTGGTAAAATAAGTGCTTTTGTGTAATAGAAAAAGTAAAAGCACTTTTGACGCGGAAGCCGAGAAAAATAAAAGTTGTAGTGTTTGGGAAAATAACTGCTTTTCTAAAGCCAAAAGCTGAGAAGTGCTTTTTTAAAAGGAGTTGCAAACCAACCCTTGGAGACACGGGTTTAGAAACGGAAAAGGGTGTGGGGTTTAAATATGGATTAAAAACTATACTTATATTATTACCAGTGTTTCAAAATTTTATGACATTTTTTTATTTTTCTAAAAGTCTCTGATCACATTCGTTATTTACCTAGTCCCTATACATTCTTAAATTAAGCTTGTCAAATATTCGAGACGAACCGTACCCAAGTCAAGCTTGAATATGACCGAACTCGAATCGAGTTTTTCCTGAGCGATCCTGCAGGAACATGTGAAAGGCTTGACTCATTTATACCGCCGGTTGTGGTGCAAATGAGCCGGTAACGAGTAGCTCGTGGATCGCCACGGAAAAACTCGACTCAAGTTTGATCATATTCAAGCTCGACTCGAGTTCGATTTGATTCGACTATTTAACAAGCTCATTTCAAGTCTATTAATTTTAGGCTCGCAGCCCGTGAGCCGGTTCATGAGTCTTTGTGTGTGTACACATTTAATATATAATAAATTTGGAATATGTATTCTAATTCAACACTATTCCAACTCGTGGCTAGGGCTGTTAACGTACCAAGCTTTTGTCAAATTATTTGAGTTTGAGCTCGGTTTTGAACCTAACGAGTCGAGCTTAACGAGCTTTCAAACTCGAACCCCAACTGAGCTCGAACATAGTAGTATTGGGCTCGATTCGAGTTCGAGTCTATCGAACACCCTGAAATTATAAATATAATTTATATATACGTCAAAATTTTAAATATAATTAGATGATTTTATGAAATTAAATATAATTATTAATGAACTGAATATTTGTCAAATAATTCGAGTACGAGCATATTAACGAGCATCGCCTAAGATTTTAAAACTAAGCAGCACTATATATAGGGATAAGTGGCAACGAGATATTTTGCAAAATGTTACGCCGATTATATTTTTGGAAACGAGAAGGCTGTGTGTCATACGTCTGCCATTATTTCGAGTAATTAAACCATCAGTCGGTCCAATCCAGTGTGTTGTGATAGAGGATAAGATTAAGGGATTTCAAACTAAGAACATCTCTAATGCTACAATGCGCATGGTGCACATGTGGCATGAGAGAGATAGACACAAAAATTGAATTTATGACATTTCTCTCTCATTCTTTCCATGGTTTTATGTGTTTTTGACTTTTTGGTAAGTTTTCCTCAGCAATGTCAAGCACAATGTCTACATCTAGACATTGTGCTTGACATTGTGAAGAAAAACTTACCAAAATGATACAAAATCCTTCAAATAAGGAGAGAGATGTTCTATTTATTATTTTTTATTGTCTATCTCGCATGCCACGTATGCACCGTTCACGTTTTAGCATTGGAGATGCTCTTAGAGTGAGTAATAATAAGCTAGTAATGATAAAAAAATATTTATCGTAAATGTTACTCGTATATGAGTTTTAAGAGTGAGTAAATAAATACACACATATATTTAAATGTAATATGTAATTAATTGTATCATAATTGTTGAAAATTTTGAAACGACGTACATGATGATAATATATTTACTTATATTTTACTTTAACTGTCTTTGATTCACAAAACTTACTCAAATTGAAAGAATTACAAAAATTGGCGGTATTAACTTTTAACAAACACAATACTTCAGGGTTGCATATATGTATGTGTGTGTGTGTATAATATCTGCGTTTGTGTAGATATACATAGATTTAGGATCAAATGAGAACAATGCTTAATATTGAGAACGTGCGAACATCACATTTATGCCCAATGTGACGCACAATGGGCTTGCAATGCACTTTTTCGTATCAAGCATAATATTTATAAAGGTGTCACCGTGATTATATATATTAGCTTGTATTGAGCAAAGACCAAATGTGCACTAGAAGGACTCTATTGTGTATCATTGAATTAAATGTGAGTGTTCTCACGTTAATCATCATTTTCATTAGAACCGCACCACATATATTTATAATGGATTAAAAGAATATGCAAATACGATAAATTAAATCTATATGGGGGCACCCGCGGGCACCCGTGGGGAACAACGGGGTGGGCGGGGATGGGGTGGGTCTGGGAGTAACGGGGGATGGGGCGGGGATGGGGCGGGGATGGGGGGAACTTTTTAGACATGGGGCGGGGGATGGGGAAGTGTAGCCCCGCCCCAAACCCGCTCCATTGCCGTCCCTACATATGAGAGCTTTGGTTATAATCCTCTATATAAATACTTGTAATATCTAAATCTAATCTAATCTAAAATCTTATAAACACCAATGAATGTTAAAGCATTTTAGTTATAAAAAAATGTGTTGGTGTAAAAGCATGCAACATGCGATTGTACTATGTATTTTAAACGATGTACTCCTGATTATTAATGCCTTTTTTCCGTTTGTGTTAATTTAGCCTGCTATAACATTCTTTAACGATGTTAACCTCATCCGTCCACTTCCCGCGTCATTGTTCCTGTTTCACCATTCATTAATGTGAAAATGGTGAAAATAGGTCCTTTCCAATTTTCATACTTCCTATACGCATAGCCGTTTTCCAGGGCATATACCAATCGTTATGGTCTTATGGCTGCAAAGCTATGTTGTAAACAAACAAGGTTTATGGGGAGGGCATCACTTCAAAATTGTTTCCCATAAGTGATTTAACAAATTGATTTTGCTTACCTTATATGTAATTCTGCACACATTCTTCTATAGTGCATCAACAATAGGTTTAGTTTGATGTCCCTTTATGTCGAGTTTGTCCTATTTCGGCTTAAGGTTTTAATTTCCAAATACTCCCTTCATCCCACAAAATTTGGTCAAAGCTGACTTGCACGTAGATTAATAAAGAAAAAAATGTGTGGTTGAAATTTGTGTAGAGGAAAGAGACATAACTTTAACCTCATATTCCTTACTTTAAAGAAGAATGACAAAGTTTTTTTGGACGGCCAAAAAATAAAATTTGGCCAACTTTTATGGGACGGATGAAGTAGGTATTACCTTTCATATTGAAGTTATAGTCTTATTCCATGATTACTATGGAAGTGTAAAATTAAGTTAATTCCCTTTGTCCCTAAAAGTCTAGAGCGAGTTGTGCCACTCCCGCTCTCCGCCTCTATAGTCGGACATAAGTCACATGTGCTTCCTCACCGAGGGTTAACTTGCCAATTGCCATCCGTGAAGATGTAGACATCTTTAATTAAAACATACTACAACCTCGAGACATACCTTTTTAGAAGTGTATCTTCAAAAGGTTGGTTTCTGAAAAAATGTCATTGCTTCATACTACACGTTATATATGTAGGATGTGTTTAATTGGACTGAAATTTACTGATCTGGTTTGATCTGGTCTGGTTTGGTTTGATAAATGTCTGGTCTGATAAACGTTTGGTCTCTGTGTATTTTATAACTATCCAAGTATGGTCTGCTCTGAGACTGAAAACAGTCCAAATAAAACATTTGTGGTATCATATACACCGTATAAAACACCTTTATGAGTATGAAACAATTCCATCTCATTAATGGTAGCATCTGAGTTAAATTGATTCAAAAAATAAACGACTTCTTAATAAAAAAAATTAAAAATAGATGGGTGATACTAAAATGAACAAAGAAAATAGAAATGAAGACAATGAGGATACATATATGCAAATTAACATAGAGGGAGTTTTGTTAAGCTAAATGGTTATGATACCTTTGTATAACTAACTTAATGGAACTTCAAGAAAAATAATAGACAAATACATGTTAGCTGCTTATTTTGCGGTGCACACTCCTTCATTAGAGTTTTTTTTAATTGCCCCAGGGGTGTCAGGGGGAGAGGATTTGGGGGACTGGGATATACTGAGACCAATCTCACTCCATTGAGTACTGGATCCAGAATATCTCATTAGAGTAAAATAACTAGATATGCTAGAGGTCAAAAGAGTATGTTACAATGAATCTCAATAAATCAAATTTTAGAATTTTCTCTTTCGTGTTGAGTACTTGTAAGTTATAAGGAAGACATAAAAATGTGATAGAAAATCATAAAAATGTATAAACCTAAAGGGTTTGTCAATGAAAAGTGATTGCTACAGAGCTTGTTGAGAGCTTGAAATATGATCCTTTTGGATTCACATTCCTATTGCGTTCAATGTACACATCACACAGTATTGGGCATTATCCCACACGCGCAATGCGCGTTGTAAAACTAGTCATTCAATAAAGCTGAGAGTGCTATTGTATTCATGAACACATAATTTCTCTTTGAATTACAAATCATACTATTACTCTTCCAAAACAGTTGTATTGAGCTCATTATTATAAAATCCGTTATATTTTGGTATTCGAGAAAACTGTCAAGTAGGCCCCTTACTATTACGAAAAAGTCAATTAGTACGTCAACTTCAAAAAATATCAAATCCACTTTTTAGTAGGTTAACAACACGTTCACCGGTATGCATACACACGTGGCGACACTTGTCAAAATTTTACTCCCTCCGATTCATAAAGAAGTTCCGGTTTTGACTTCACACATATTAAGAAACGAAATTTG